CCCTGGGTTCTCAGGTCTTAGCCTCAGACTGGAAGGTACACCACTGGTTTCTCTGGTCCTGAACCCCTACAACTTGGAGAGCCACACTACTGGCTTCCCTGGGTCTCCAACTTGTTTCTATCGTGGAACCTCTCAATTTCCATAATCACATCAGCCAATCCCCCTAATAAATCCTGTCTCTTCCATCTATCTATCATATTAGTTCTGTGTCTCTGGAGAACCCTAACTAATTCAGAGATACAAATATACTCAAAACATATTCCACTATCTCTGAGTTAATGTGTTACAAGATGAAATTGATATGTAGAAACAAATATCTATTGGCACATTTAGTTAGCGGTATGAACAAAGCATCATGGGAGAGGTAACTAGACCTATGAAGTGGTGGAGAGTTTGGAAAAGAGTAAAAGTAGGGTTGAGAAAGGTTTCTTGGAGCAGATGATGCTTGAACTTGGCCTTGAAGGATGAACTGGGATTCTTTGCATTAAGGAATGAAGAAAAAAAATGTGGGAAAGGATATAAGAAGCAGAGGAAACAGCATGATTGAAACATAGACACCTGATTGTAAAAGAGTCCAGTGTTGTTCAAATGCCCAACCATGGAACAGATATTAGCTTGGATCACATCAGCCACATGTATTAAAAAACTAAGAATCTTCATTACAAACATGTATGTATTCAGAGACACTAAGAAATAGAAAATACTCATAAACTGCCCCAAGTTGATAACTAATAAGCCAAACATAGGAACTTCATAATGCTAAGAACTTCTAGTATGTCAGATCAACTTCAGGGATAGTTTAATGGTTTAGTTTGTATGTTTCCAGGACATCCTTTTATGCTGCTTACTTTGTCAGACACTGGTGGAAAATACAGTTGCTGACCCTGAGAAGATTTGTGTTTGTTTTTGAGCCTCACTCTGTCACCCAGGCTGGAGTGCAGTGACACCATCACGGCTTACCACAGCCTCCACCTCCTGAGCTCAGGTGATCCCTCTGCCTCAGTCTTCCAAGAACCTGAGACTACAGGCACGTACCACCATGCCTGACTAATGTTTTAATCGAGGTCTCACAATGTTCCCAGGCTGGTCTTGAACTCCTGGGCTCAAATGATCCTCTCACCTCGACCTTCCAGTGCTGGGATTACAGGTGTGAGCCACACCGCACCCGGCACATTTATTCTTTTAACAACCATTTGTTGAATACTATCATATGTCCAGCAAAGGAGTTATCTGTGAACAAGACTCATATGGTCTCTTGCGACCCTGAGCTTACAATGTAGGAAGGAGTTATTACTAAACAGGAAGACAGTCACATAAACAGATAATTTCAACTTAATATAGTAACTGATATGCACCAAAGAAGACAAAGACACAGAGAAGGATGCTTAACTTATATTGGCATTATCTTGGGTTCTGGATTACTGTGGAATCCTTTGCTGTAAATTCACTTCCGTAGAAAGACACATCTGGCCCTGCACAAACACAGGCCATGAACAGTTAGGCACATATGATCTAAGCCATGACTTAGGAGGACCGGGGCCAGTACTCTGTCTCTCAAGCTACTTGTGACACACCAACGCAGGGCAAAAAATATTTGTTGCATAAAAAACTACAATAAGGATATAATTCTATCTATATAAATGTTTTTACAATATCATCTATCAGCACCTGCAATGTGGTGGAATGTTGAAGTAGTTTGGGGAGGAAGATAAACGTATTGTTGAGACAAAGAGTGAGAAAAAGGGAGACTAAGTACAATTGAAGAGAAGCTTGAGCATGTTTTCGCTGGCCTTGGAATCAGGGAGACTTCCGACTAACCATCACCCTCTCTGAGCTTGTGACCAAGCCTCCTTCTCTCATCTATAAGGCAATAAGAGTGATCATTGTAAGTTTATTAATCTGTAAAGGGGAAACTATTAACAGCTTTGATGTTATGGGGTAAAAAACAAATAGGGAAAAGAGGACAAGGGAGAAAGACATAAACAAGAGAGAAAGCAGTATCACATATAGCCGTGAGCAAAGCACTAGCCACACCTCTTTCCCTCTGTTTCTTCATTTCTAAAATGGAGATGATACTAACCCTTCAGAGGCTGTTATGAAGGTTTATTTAACTGATCTAGCTCTTGCGTATGACCTCTGTTCAAAACGTTCTAGGATATATTATTCCCTCCCTCTCCACCCAAGAAGCCCCTTACATAAAGATGAGCTGAAAATCCAAACAAAAATGCTTGGAAACGTTAAAAGGGAAGCCTTTAAAGTGGTTAGATACTGGAGAAAGGGGCATAAGGTTATCTGAGAGAGAAGAGAACCAAACCGAGGCAGGCTGCCTTGGATCGCCCCTCCTGGGATAGGCCTCCTCTTGCCCCCACACCAAAATGCATCCCTGCCAGATTTCCAAGGGCAGAGAAGGTCACCCAGGTGGCCTTTCATTCTTAAGCCTGTTCCATTTTCTGCACAAAAAGACATTAAGCATATAGAACTCAGCAGCTCCCAGGATAAAAGACAGCATCACCCGATCTCTACCTCTGAAGGTTGGGGACAGTCCTACTAGTCACTCTTCAGCTTTAGGGGGGTTGGTTTGTTTCAGGGACAGCTGACAGCCTTATTTAGCCAACCAGCTGCTCTGTGATACACAATGTCCCTGATGCTCAAAGTCTGGTGGATGATTCTTTTGTATCCATATAAGCAGCAGTTGGAGGAGAATCGATCAGTCCCTTTGGTTGCCTCAGAGTGTCAAGGCTGCCATTCAAATCATGACCACCATAATTATTAACCATTGTTTTAGTGTGATGTCTGCCAGACTATTGTTTTTCTTTCTTTTTTAATCATTAAAAAAATCAAATTTCTCTGGAGCAATGCTTGCCTCAAGTCACATCAACACATTTATTAAACCCCTTTTGTTTGCCCAGTTCAATGGAAAGTCTTGGAGGAGGGAACACTTAAAAATATTCTCTTATTTTAAAGAATGAATAATATTTGGGGGAAGACGTTCATACACACACACACAATAATAAATAAAAGGAAAAAGCTCTATATTATACAATACATGGTACAGAGTGTCATAGACAGTGGCAATTTTATTTCCTTACTTTTATTACTGTACAATGGGGAGCTTGGGAGGAGACAGTCTGGGTAGAGGATTAGGAGTGGGATGTTGTGGTGGGGAATTGCTTTTTTTTCCAGCAGGTAAGAGAAAAACAATCAAGGGAGTGGACAGGATATGCACCTCATTAGAGCTGCCACCAGAGCCTGATTTTTTGACAAGAGTTCATTGGTTAGGATGCTAAATGCAACTTTAAAAGGCCTTTTGCTTCAAAATGAATGATGTGGCCTGTGTAATTCAGCGATATATTCAAAGGCTTTGTCCAGATTGTGGCTTGGAGCCACATTCCCAACCCATTTTTCAAGCATGTTAAACCCAAACACAGCACAGAGGACTACACATGGCATGGTCACAGACCAGGCTCAATAACATTGGTGGTAGGGATGTTTTGGATATGTCTCCTTTAAACCTTTTAGCTACAAATGCCTGACGGTCCCTGCGGTTTTGGTGTTCAACACATTTAAAAATGTTGACTCAGCCTGTAATCCCCGCGCTTTGGGAGGTCGAGGTGAGTGGATTGCCTGAGCCCGCGGG